TATGACCATCTAATTTGGCTTTTTATTATCCTGTTTTGACATCCCATAGACGGATAGAGTTATCATCACTACCAGAAGCTAATGTATTTCCATCTGGAGAGAAACAAACAGATTTTACTGCATTGGTATGACCATTTACATAATTTAATTCATGAATTCTTAAGTTTTTCCATTTACAGTTCAATAATAAAGTTTAATTCAGATTTATTCCACTTTTGTTGACATTATTAAATTTAGATCCACTAAAATTACACCTAAAAAAATTAGCTCCAACCAAAGAAATATTTTAGATTTTTATATTTTCAAAATTGTTGTTGCTAAGACTCACCTTCATCTAAACTAATATATGTAATGAATTAGACCCACATTATATAAAAGTATTATCCATAGATGTAAGATGAACTAAAAATTTCAAAAATTCTATGATTTATCTATCATTATTTTATTCCTTTTATTAGATCCTTTGTAGATTCTTCATATTCTTTATTTGAATAGCCTAACTTATTGAAGCCATGATCTTTTATTGTTTTTAAGACATTAGTAATTTGTTTGATGTTATTTCTAAAATCATACAATTTCTATCCATTATCATCCTCTATTAAATTCTGTAAAATGTATTGTTCCAAATTTTTTTGATTTCCATGATCTGAAAGAAATAACATACAGTCTTAAACTTTTTTCTTTCTAAATATTTCAAATATGAAACCAAAGATTTACTCATCTACATTTTTTAATTAATCAAAAATTTCAGCTAGAACTTCCTACTCTTAAAAAGAGCCCAGCATTTTTTTTTTATTTTTAATATTGAATTTCTATTACTCTCATTTTAATTTATATAGTGCAAAATCGATAAAAGTATCTGGTGTATTTTTGTTTAATATAAGTTCAGACTTTATGTAGATTTAGAATTGACTAAAATAAAGGTAAAACATGCTATTGAGAATCCAATTTTATTGCTTGATTTTTAATAATATAGAATATTGTTATATATATGAAAAATTGAATTAATACTAAATTTGAGTTAGATTATAAACCATTCATTTTTCTAGTTAATCCTTAATTTTGAGAATAAATAATTGGAATTTTTCAGCTAACTATTTAGAGATTGGTATATGTTTGAACCCTCCTCTTATAACAGTTTCTTTTAATAGAACTATTAAATGAATAAGAGAAGATCCTAATATGGTTTTAAAGAATTTAAATTGTATTTAACAACCCTAACTTATTGATGTGTAATTTTCTTTTATTTTAATATTATATTAGAATTCATATGATTAGAATTATTCTATCCAAATTTATAATTTAACACAAAGACATTCTATCTTTATATCCTCAAAATTCAAATCAAACCCATTAGCAGTAGTTGAATTAAAATATGTAAAAGTAACTTATTTTTTAGGTGGCAAAATACAAACACCATCTATACAAATGATATCCTTTTCAATTTCACATTTAGAATTGCACTCATCTTTATCAGTCTGATTTCCTTCATCACATTATTCTATACCTGCTAAGATATTGTCTTCATATTTATTAACACATGATTTTAATTGTTTATTTTTTTTATTTTTATTATTATTATTTGATTAACAGAGAAATTTAAATAGATGTAAAGATAATTTATATATTTCTTTAACAAAGAGATGAAGGATCTTATTGTGAAAAATAAGAATATGATGAATTATTAGGATCTATTAAGATTGGAAGATCTTTTGACCTGTATGGTAGATTTGGAATTGGTAATGGATTATAATGAATTGTTTATAAAGGAGCTTATAAGAAAAGATTAAAAATTTGTCGCTGGAATACATTATATAAAGATAGCTAAATTCAATTTTATAAATGTATATAGATTATTAAATATTATAATAGTGGTTTATATATTGATAAATAAGGATCAACAAAGACTGGATGATGGATAGAGTTGAGTGATAATTTTGGGAATGACTTTGAATAACCCTAAATCACGAAAATGGTCATGATAAGAATAGAAAAAGTTGGTAAAGGGGAAGATATTGATTTAAGTAGAAAAAAATAAATTATGTAAATAAAATGTGCTTAGTTTCGAGAAGTATTCATTTGTATGGAATGATGGACTAAAACTTAATTTAAATATTCACTAGAAAATAACCAAATTCTAAGCTAATGGTAAAATAAGAAAATAAATTTAGCAGCTAGCACTTGAATTCATACTTATTATTGCTAACACAAAAATATTTGTAATTTTTAAATAAATTATTAATAGAGAGACATAATTTAAGAATGAAGGCATATTAAAATCCAAAAAGTATATGAATATTTTTTTGATTTATTTTACACATAATTTTGTTTTCTATTTAGCGAAATAACATAAACCTAAATTTTATCTTACAAAAAATTGTATAAATAACATGCACTATCAGAAGTTTGAGAGAAATTATCCAGTATTGCTAATCCAAAGATTAAGAAAAGAGTATAAAAAAGCTTAGATATACAAGACTTATTATAATGAAATTATTAAAAAAATAATAACAATCTCTCCCTTAAAACTCAAATAATACAACCTTTAATATTAATGATGCATAGCAAACAAGTGACCTAAGAAAGATATGAAAATTAATCACTCAACCCAATCTACTTCCAAATTTTCATGCCATTATCTTTTAATAATATCAACCTCCACCTCTAAATAATTACTGTAATCACATTTTACACCTCTTTGTTATCCCAATAAATATTCCACAAAGGTGTCCATTTAACAACTTTCTATCCATTTTTATATTCACCAATAAAAAAAAATTATGAATATTCAGAAAATCTATTATTCAACTTAGTTCACCAACCAATTTTAATTTCAAGGCCTTCTTCATCATTAAATCCACCAACACTAAAACATAAAATATAATAATTAACAATTCTTATCCCCAAGCTACAGTATTCCATCTACCTTCTTTTTATCATTTTTTACTAGCCGGTAAATGTAAATCCTTCACTCAACTCAGTCCATTTTCCATCCTTGTTATTGTCCACCTCCACTATTTAATATTAATTATATTAATACATCTCTTAATCATTAAATATGTACTTCCTTAATAATTAAGTTAATTAAAAACAAACGATACTCACCACCGCAACCATTACAATTTTGGTTCTTCTAATTAGCTGACCAGAATCCATTTTTTTTTAATTTTTTCCTTCTTTATCTGCCCATCTAAGATGCATTATTTTTTCTATATTGGTAATTATTGCTGGTTTTAATAATAAATCATGTTGTATAAAATTACTTCACTTAAAATTCTACTTTATAAAGGATTTCACCTTGAAAAAGATATTTAATTCCTCGTTATTAAGTAAAATGAATATGAAAATTAGTTTAAAAAAAAAATCTATTCTTGTTTTATCAAGCCTTCAAATTATTGAATTTCTTCTTCTTGCATCCTTCAGCAAAATTATTCATTCAATGTAATTATGAATTTTTCAATTTCAAATTTCAATTAGGACTTTAGTTTATGTAAATAATTCAAATCAAAGTCTTTTTACAAGTACCATTACTCTTATAAATCTCCCTCCAAAATTTTTACCATAATATCAAGATCTGAATATGATGATTCAGATGGTGGATATTAATAATTTATTAAATTTAGATAGACTTAAGCCTTCTTTTCAATGTATCATTAATCCCTTCAATGGATTAATTTAACTCTTAAAANGCATAGCAAACAAGTGACCTAAGAAAGATATGAAAATTAATCACTCAACCCAATCTACTTCCAAATTTTCATGCCATTATCTTTTAATAATATCAACCTCCACCTCTAAATAATTACTGTAATCACATTTTACACCTCTTTGTTATCCCAATAAATATTCCACAAAGGTGTCCATTTAACAACTTTCTATCCATTTTTATATTCACCAATAAAAAAAAATTATGAATATTCAGAAAATCTATTATTCAACTTAGTTCACCAACCAATTTTAATTTCAAGGCCTTCTTCATCATTAAATCCACCAACACTAAAACATAAAATATAATAATTAACAATTCTTATCCCCAAGCTACAGTATTCCATCTACCTTCTTTTTATCATTTTTTACTAGCCGGTAAATGTAAATCCTTCACTCAACTCAGTCCATTTTCCATCCTTGTTATTGTCCACCTCCACTATTTAATATTAATTATATTAATACATCTCTTAATCATTAAATATGTACTTCCTTAATAATTAAGTTAATTAAAAACAAACGATACTCACCACCGCAACCATTACAATTTTGGTTCTTCTAATTAGCTGACCAGAATCCATTTTTTTTTAATTTTTTCCTTCTTTATCTGCCCATCTAAGATGCATTATTTTTTCTATATTGGTAATTATTGCTGGTTTTAATAATAAATCATGTTGTATAAAATTACTTCACTTAAAATTCTACTTTATAAAGGATTTCACCTTGAAAAAGATATTTAATTCCTCGTTATTAAGTAAAATGAATATGAAAATTAGTTTAAAAAAAAAATCTATTCTTGTTTTATCAAGCCTTCAAATTATTGAATTTCTTCTTCTTGCATCCTTCAGCAAAATTATTCATTCAATGTAATTATGAATTTTTCAATTTCAAATTTCAATTAGGACTTTAGTTTATGTAAATAATTCAAATCAAAGTCTTTTTACAAGTACCATTACTCTTATAAATCTCCCTCCAAAATTTTTACCATAATATCAAGATCTGAATATGATGATTCAGATGGTGGATATTAATAATTTATTAAATTTAGATAGACTTAAGCCTTCTTTTCAATGTATCATTAATCCCTTCAATGGATTAATTTAACTCTTAAAAAATTACTTTAAGTGAATTTATGCGTTCGCAAGTATTATTGTAAATTATCCATCTTGTGTTACTTATTTTCGATCGTCATCAAGTTAATATTTTTAAGCCTTGGAAGGTATGAATTCATCTCTCCTCCACCTCATATGAACATTCTAGACAATATCTCTTTTGCAATTGTATGGTGCTTTACATATTACTGATAATTCATTCAAAGGATGATGTGGACAATTCATTTTTTAATTAATTAAACAATTGCTATTACTTTTTATTCTCTAATTTTAAATCTTAATCTAAGCTTACGTTATATAAATGTAAAAGAAATCTTGGCTAAAAAAATTTTACATATTTATCATTTCTATGGCCGCTGCTCAATATCAAATCTTTTTATTTTCATTTATTAAAGACTTAATTCTTTTAATATAATGTTGTAGAAATTAATATTCTGCAATTTTAATCTAATTTAAAAAATGAGGATAGCCTAACTGAAGTAATGTCAAATACTTATGAAAAGTAAAGAGATTAATCTCATTTATTGTTAAGTATTTAAAAGATTTAATATAAAATTAAACATTGTGAATAGTTTAATAATTCTAACAAGGCCTCATTTAAATAGCTTAAGAGAGGTTGTAATTTTTAATAAAATTTAAACTGTAAAAGAATTCTATTTTTTCCTTTTGTTATTTATGAAAATGCATTAAATTTAAATTCTTAATATATATTGAACTATTGTTAATTAACTAATTTATTAATATATTAGAGATTAAAATTTGAAATTTATTCTTTTATACATCGAAGGAATAAAATTAATATTAATAATTTAATAACAGTATTCTCAAAATTAAATAACACCTGTCTTAGAATTTTCAAATATTCAAGTAAATAAAAATAATACTTCCAACTCCAAATTTAATTAAGGACTAAGACTTTTCATAGTAAAAACAGTTTCTCTATAAAATATTTGGAATATTTATTTAATGGACATTTCTTGTTGTTTTTCTCTAGTATATTTTGAAACTGAGTGTGTTCATCATAAGTAATTACTATATTATAGAAATAGTTTATGATGTATTAAATTCAGGTAAACATGAAGAAGCTTGAAAATTATATGACTAATAATTGTCTTTTTTAAATATCAATTAAGAGATATTTAATTGGAAATGTAAATAAAGTAATAATACATTATATATGCGTTATACAAATTTGTTTTATTGGAATTAGATAGAGTCTAAGGGGAAATTTACTTTAATTATAGTAATTATATGGTTGATAATGACAAAGGTATATTTTATCGACTAATCAACAATTATTAGGCTCTTTATTTAATGAAGTGAATTTTGAAATAAATCCATTTGATTTAAATTCTAAGAATGTTTATTACTATAAAGGTAGATTATATGATTTTATAAATTATTTTTTACTCTACTTTTATAAAATGCTTTTAATCTTTATTAACATTAAAAAATTTTATAAGCAATATTAATTTAAGATCCATCTCTCTTTCTTAATAAAAATCGTGTTTATTATAAATATTAATTTGTCAATTGCTGGTTAAATATAATTGTGCATAATATGAAAATTTCTAGTACTCTAAATAAAGATTATCCATCAATTCCTACTAAAGCTTAATTCAGAGTTATATCAATTTTGAGAAATTTTTATAACTATATTCAATTTTTGAATAAAATTCATGAATATATATGAAAGAGAATGACAGATTTTTAAAGGTGGAGTAGTATAAATGGATACTTATCAAATATTTAATCAAATGTGAAACTTTGAGAAAAAGGATAATTTTAATTAAATATTTATTTCAGTTCTTCAGACAATATGATATGTAATTATATTATCTTGGAAAAAAAAGTCACTTCATTGTTTGAAGCTTTGCTACTCTCTTATTCAACATATATTTGGAAACGTTTATGGAGCAAATTGGGAGGAAAGGAAATATTTTTTTGAAAATTATAACGATGATTTAGCAGTGATAATTAAAGAATAATATCAAAAATGCTTCTTTAAATGTTTAAGCAAAGTAAGTGTGAATGGGAGTAAATTAAAAAAAGGAAGTTCAATTTGAGAAAAAATGTTTATTTAGGAAATATAATGAATAAATTAGGTACATATAAGGATGAACTTAATCAAAAAGTGAAATATTTTTTCAAGGATTTACAAGATTAAAAGAAAGAATAATGTTGTGATTGTTCAGAGACTTTATATCAAAAAATCTCTCTAGTTGAGCATTGTAATAAGTTAAAAAAAGAAAATTGTTAATCTACATAAAAATATTGATAAGAGTATACTCAGAGGGCAACATATAGGCATTTAATAATAATTTCATTTAGAATTAAACGTAAATAAGTTTAATATATTCTTCAGATTCTTATTATAAAAAATAATAATAATAATATTGATGTTATTATTTTAATTTATCAAGGAATCCATTATAGAATTTTATTTCTTGATGGAGAGGAAATGTTCAAATTATTTGCAAATTTTTTTCAATTTTGTTTTTGGTGTCTAACATCATATTCTAACTTCACAGCTGGTTCATTTGTTAGAAAACTACACAACTTGCAATACCTAAACACTGGAATCATATCATACTTCATATCCAGCAGTTGCAGTTGGTTGTTTTCAGAAAACAACTTGAACTCATATTGGCAGCTAATATTCGTGTAGTATTTCACTAAATAAGCCAGAAGATTATCTATATATTTCTCTTAGAGTAAGTGTATCTAATAATTCTCAGTGAAATCGTAGAAAGCTTTTACAACTGTTCATCAAATGGGCAAATACTACACCATTTGAACATAATTACATTAAGGATTTCTTCTTCGATCACCACATTAGGGACCTCCACCCACCAGGGTGAGTCTGTTGATGATAAAGGGGATAGATAGAGGCAAATTTCCTGCTCCTTAGAAAAAAGTACTGCCTAGAGAACACTAGACTTAATTGTGTCTTTATTCAAGTTCAGATATTTTAGCTCTTATATCTGATAAATCCATGATTTCATTTTTTATTCATCAATCTCTATTTGACGCTCATATATTCATTGCCTTATTTCCCAAAAGGGTTTTACTTAGACATAAATATTCCCTTATCCTAGTTAGATTTTTAGACTCTTGAGCTACTAGAATTACTACGATATACTTTGCTCCCATTAGAAGAAAATACTCGATATAATTTTTTCATTAAAAATATTTTTCTTAAAATAAATTTTATACTTAAGAATATTCTTATTATTTTGGGGTCATTCATATAAATCAATTGTTTATGGGGAGTATGAAGTCATGAAATAATTTCTGAATTAATAAAAATTATTTTTAGGTATCTAGATACTTAAAAATTATTTTTAAGTATCTAGAGATAAAAATTATTATGTGTCTAGATGTGTTTTGACAACTTATAATATTTTCACCAGTGGGATTGCTTAACATGTCACAATTCAGTCTATGTTCGAAGGAATTATTCTCGCTCACTCAGACTTGGCAATTCATTTATCAATTTATGTCAATCCAACAGATTGTTAAGTCGATATTAATCAACCATGTCTTCCCAGAAAAAAAGCTCCCTAAGTTCTGATTTTTCCATTTGAAAAAATTAAGAGTGGCATGCAGTTTATACTGTTTAAGAAGGCCTTATCAAAAATAAAATAATTATTAGAATCACTTCTATTTCATCTGTTATATAATTTAATAATAATTTATAAATTATAGATTGAAAATTGAAAGAGGGGTCTAGAATTCTCTAAAGAATATGTTGTGAGTTAGGTATCTTAATTTTCACAATCACAAATGATTTTACAAAATAAAAATAAAAAATTAGAAGTATCATAAATAATTATGAAGGAGCAAAAGTTTAAAATTTACCAATAAGATTAAGTGTAAAATTTATAATAATAATTATTGGGATAATAAGAAATATATATTGCTACTAATAATATTTTAAATACTATTAGATTGAAATATAATACTATTATAAATTTCAATTAATGAAACAATCATTAATCATCTAGCAAATCAAATATCCCAATTCATTAGTTTTATTTATTGAGGTTTTCACTGATAACTGTAGAAAAGTCAGAGTAAAAGCAAGATAATCTTTGACTTAAGGATTCCTTAATACCTAATCAACCATCAATAAATTTGTCTATACAATTAATAGAAACTTGTTGATGATTATAGAAATACAAATTTCTTACTAAAATTTATATTTATTTTGAGATTTATTTGAATTTGCAAGATAAGCTTTAGATTCATAATTAGTATTATTAATAATTTTTTCTTTCGAATGAAAAGTAAAAATAATATAACAATACCTGTTAAATTTTTTAACTATTTTTTTTCTATATTAGTGTTTGCCTTTTCTCCATTGAATAATTTTCTTATTTGATCGAATTTGTGTTAAAAAAATTTTGCTTAATTGAATATAATTATTTAAAAATATTTTGTTATATATCGAGGTAATTCATAATATGAAGCGGGACTGCTGCACCAGCTTCATAAATTACTAAAACTATATCAACCTCTCTCCAGTAAGTTTTCAAGTAAAAAAGAAATATGTTGAAACTTTTTATATATTTCTATAAAAAATTTTATAAACATATATGAAGAGAGGTGAATATATTTCATAGAATGAAAGATATCATTAAGAATCCTTTCAAATTAAATATCATAAAAATTAGACTTCAAAATTAATCTAAAAATAATGTTAGTTAATGTTTATACAAAATTATTTTGATTTTATCAAAATGAAATAGAATTATGTTTTATTGGTACTCAATATACAAAGTCATAATTTATTCAGGCTAATTGCAAAAATATCAACTTGATATTGATGTTTGTGTTTTATAGATCTAATTCAAAGTAAACTAAAAAGATTGATAAATCTAAGTGTCTAAATAATAATGGTTTCTATTTTTAGGTTGAAATTGGATATATAAAACTAAAAAATTAAGTTTAAAAATGTAATTAAATCAATCAACCAACTTCAAAAAAAGTAAAATTAGCAAACGAATTGAGTTGATAATAAAGTTTCATTCCAAACTTATAGCAATATACAATCTGATATTTTACAATAGTATTGCTAATTTAATTAATCTTCTACATGTAAGAGATAAAAAACCTGTTTGGTCCTAGTGTTATCGTCAAATTAAAAGCGAATGATTCTTAAAGTTCACTTCCTTTTACTGTATCATAAAGTTTTTTAAATAATTATGAAGTTCATTCATTATAATTGTTCACAACTAAATATGAATTGCTTTATAGAATATTTATATCATCAATTAATAATCATCGAAAATGTTCCAAAAACTTTCCTATAAAATGTTTTTTTCTCTTAAAAATATCAATCTATGTTGCTTTTTTCGTGTTTAGTCTTTTAATCTTTAAGGCATTTTTCAAAAAGAAAACTCCTCTGCTTCAATATCAAAGATCTACATGAATATAGTTTAAATATTCCTGTTATCAAATTTTATTAAAATTATGGATATTATAAATCCATTTGAGTCCTTCTTTTAAATTTTCTCCTGTTATTGCTCAATGTAAATTTGTTAGAAATTGTTTTAAAGAACTTATAAAGAAGGTAGAGGAAATATTGTTATACTTATATTATAAATTAATCATATAACAGTAAAAAGCATTTTTATTGTAATATAAATTGGTTAAGATTTAATAATCATATTTATCATGAAATAAAGTAATGATATAACTATCAAATTTCCAAATAGCAGACTAGAATGATATATTTAATATGAAGATGGGAGTATTGATGTTATTATAGTAGAGGAACTAACTAATAGAATTTTATAAAATATTAAGCTTATGAGGGAAGTAATATATATTATAATTAGCCTAGATTAAAGCATTATTTTCATAAAAATTTTATTAATAATTATAGGAAATAATAATTAGGATATCTAAGTGCTATGTCTTTTTGATATCAAATTTTAAAAAAGAAATTTATATTAACTTTAGTTATTGAGCTTGCAATTCTATATCATTTTAATTTCTTTTTACATTAAATTTTTAGAGAATTTTTGGCTCTTGCTCAATATTATTTAAGAAATCTAAAAAAAAATATCTATTTTAATGAAAGAGAAGTAGGAGAATAAATTCTAAATTATAAGCATTGTTTTTAAAAAAATTAGAAATATAAAAGACGTCATATATTATTTGAATTTTATAAAATTATATCAAATTTAATAAGATGTAGTATATATTTTCAGATAAATGCAGTTGCTATTGGAAGGAGTTNTTGCTAATTTAATTAATCTTCTACATGTAAGAGATAAAAAACCTGTTTGGTCCTAGTGTTATCGTCAAATTAAAAGCGAATGATTCTTAAAGTTCACTTCCTTTTACTGTATCATAAAGTTTTTTAAATAATTATGAAGTTCATTCATTATAATTGTTCACAACTAAATATGAATTGCTTTATAGAATATTTATATCATCAATTAATAATCATCGAAAATGTTCCAAAAACTTTCCTATAAAATGTTTTTTTCTCTTAAAAATATCAATCTATGTTGCTTTTTTCGTGTTTAGTCTTTTAATCTTTAAGGCATTTTTCAAAAAGAAAACTCCTCTGCTTCAATATCAAAGATCTACATGAATATAGTTTAAATATTCCTGTTATCAAATTTTATTAAAATTATGGATATTATAAATCCATTTGAGTCCTTCTTTTAAATTTTCTCCTGTTATTGCTCAATGTAAATTTGTTAGAAATTGTTTTAAAGAACTTATAAAGAAGGTAGAGGAAATATTGTTATACTTATATTATAAATTAATCATATAACAGTAAAAAGCATTTTTATTGTAATATAAATTGGTTAAGATTTAATAATCATATTTATCATGAAATAAAGTAATGATATAACTATCAAATTTCCAAATAGCAGACTAGAATGATATATTTAATATGAAGATGGGAGTATTGATGTTATTATAGTAGAGGAACTAACTAATAGAATTTTATAAAATATTAAGCTTATGAGGGAAGTAATATATATTATAATTAGCCTAGATTAAAGCATTATTTTCATAAAAATTTTATTAATAATTATAGGAAATAATAATTAGGATATCTAAGTGCTATGTCTTTTTGATATCAAATTTTAAAAAAGAAATTTATATTAACTTTAGTTATTGAGCTTGCAATTCTATATCATTTTAATTTCTTTTTACATTAAATTTTTAGAGAATTTTTGGCTCTTGCTCAATATTATTTAAGAAATCTAAAAAAAAATATCTATTTTAATGAAAGAGAAGTAGGAGAATAAATTCTAAATTATAAGCATTGTTTTTAAAAAAATTAGAAATATAAAAGACGTCATATATTATTTGAATTTTATAAAATTATATCAAATTTAATAAGATGTAGTATATATTTTCAGATAAATGCAGTTGCTATTGGAAGGAGTTCATAGATTACACTCCTTAGATTTCGAAGAAAGGATTATAATTATATGTTATTTGATTGTGCAATAAAATTATTAGAGTGTATTAAATGGTTATTATCAGACTCAAAATTGTTATGAAAAGTAAGGGAGAATTAAATAAGTCAAACATTCAAATCTATAGGTGAAAGGAGCCTATTCAAATTTAATCGAACATCTTCAGATATAGTACTATCAGCCGATATTAAATTATCATTAGTTTTGATAAATAACTACATTATTCAAGTTAATGAATACAAAACTGTCAAAGAAGGTAATTAAATTTCTTATATTGCATGATAACATATTAATTCGAACATTCTATTCATAATAGATCCCCTTCTGAATAAACTCTTTAATAAGGTTTTTAAAGTATTCCTTAAGAGGTAAGTGTATGCCATTTGCAAAAAGTGATGTAGGCAATATTTTGAAATTCTCTTAATTTAGCATTTATCCATGCTACTGACAATTGATTATCTAAATTCAGGGGAAAGATTTAGATTTTAATATAAACAATTTTGAAACTACAACTATTTAATCTATGTTGATGAATTCATCTATTTTTATAACTCTAATCATAGTTTAGATAGATAAAAGCCATTTTTCATAATAGGAGATTTTTTTTTTCCATCTCCATCAATAATAGTACTGCTTATAAAGCTTTGGTGGATAAGTGATAATAACAATAGCGCAGGAATTTAAGGAATATAGAAGAAGTAAGTTAGATTTAAGCATAAAATTTATAAATCTTCTTCGTTTCTTAATGGGCAAGGATGATCTCAAATATATTTATATTACTTGGTCCTCAAAAAAACCTAATTAATTTGAATTAAGATTAGAATGATTAGGAATTGGCGCATATATATGGAAAATTCAAGTAGGAAGATAGAAGTTGGGTTTTCAATTGTAAAAAAAGTTAAGAATATCAATAATAAATGATTTAAGGGAGAGAAAATTTATTAGCTTTGATTAAATATATTACAATAGATTATTCTAATATAAATGATTTCAAATTTATGAAATTCTTTGAAGATAAAACATAGATTAAAAATGACAAATAATTTATTAAAATGATTCTGATAATATCAAAAAAATGTATAGATTTAATTGAATGTTGAATAAAATTTGAAAAGATAAAATGTTCCTCAATAAAGAAGATTTGTCAGACATTCTTAATCAGTAATTTGAGTAAACAATCGTTAAATAATTTAAAAAGTAATAAGATAATGAATCAAAGAAGACAATTATGTGATATATCTTTCTGCTTTTGGCTATTAAAGATTAATTTTATTAAGAGTATTAAAATAAGGTTATTTAATGGAATATTATATAATTCAAGAAAATCAATCTAGAATGAAGATATGTTTTCTTAAAGATAAATAATAACAAAAGTGATGGCATCTCAAATAGCATAGTTAAAGTATTAAAAGAAATTGATTATTTGTATTTTATATAAATTTATCTATCTCTTAATAATTTTCATAATTATGCTAGTTATACCTTTATGTAAAATTCATTTGCAAATCCTGCATTAAGTGCATTCTAATAAAACTTTTTAGCTTCTTTTTTTTTCCCTAAAGCAAGTAGAGCTTCAGCTAAAATAATTATTGTTTTTTAAGAATACCTTTATTTAAGAAAAAAATAGAACTTTGTTGAAGACTTAGAGCTTTATCATAAAACTCAATTGCTCTTTGATATTGCTTCATTTAATGTAGAGTATAAGCTATTAATTAAAATGAATAATTGACCTTTATTGTTATATATACTAGCATCATTAGGACTCAGTTAAATTGATATATCAAAGCATTCTATAGCTTCATTATATTGATTTAGTTATCTTAACGCCGATCCTATTCATTAAAATTGATTCAAATCAATACCTTTGTTATAATATGCATCAACATTTCTATTATTCAATATTATGGCTTTATCATATTATTCAATAGCTTCTTTATATTGATTTAGATTTTGTAATGCCGTCCCTATTCATAATCATTTTATCAAAGCAATACCTTTGTTGTTGTAGGTATTGTCATTCTTAGGATTCAATTCTATGGCTTTATCAAAGCATTCAATCGCTTTTTGATATTGTTTTAGATTTTGTAATATCACACCTATTTAGATCATTTATTCAAGCCAATACCTTTGTTAATATAAACATTCTCATTCTTAGGATTTAATTCTATGCCTTTATCATAGTATTCAATAGCTTCTTTATATTTATTTAGATTTTGTAATGCTGTTCCTATTCATAATAATTAAATGAAAGCAATACCTTTGTTGTTGTAGGCATTCTCATTTTTAGGATTCAATTCTATGGCTTTATCAAAGCATTCAATCGCTTTTTGATATTGACTTAGATTTTGTAATGCTGTTCCTATTCATAACAATTTAATCAAAGCAATACCTTTGTTATTGTAGGCATTGTCATTCTTAGGATTTAACTATAGGGCTTTATCAAAGCATTCAATTGATTTTTAACATTGTTTTAGAGAGTTTAATGCCCATCCTATTAATAATCATTTAATCAATTCAATACCTTTGTTGTTGTAAGCATTGTCATTCTTAGGATTTAAATATATGGCTATATCACAACATTGAATCCCTTCTTCAATTCTTAATAAATGAAATAATGATTAACCTAAAAATATTAAATTAGATATATTACTTTTCCACCGCAATAATTCATCGATTGAAGTTTAAAGAGATAGTGTTTTGTCATAAAATTTAATAGCATCTTCATGTTTACCTTCATTTGTTAATTACATCGCCATTTCAAAAATTTTTTCATATTCTTATTGTTTGTCATTCTTTTTTTCCTTCTATTTAAATATTTCTTAGAATTCATTTAATTAATTTATAAATTAATCTAAATCAATTAAATGATAAATTAACCTTCTTTTTTTTATTACTCTTATGAATAGTATGACTTCAAAATATTGATTGACTATCTGAATTTAAAGTAGTCTTAGGTTATTAAAGATTAATTTAAATCTTATAAAGTTTAAATCTGGGTATCAATTCTTTTGATATTTGATTCTATTTATTTTTTTATTTAATTGAAGACTTCATTTGATTACTGTATTATTTTCTCCTAAAATTAATTATATTAATTAATTAAATCAGAAATGTTTGTAAATCTGATGCAATCATCATGATGGTCTTTATGTACTTTCAATAAGCATTTGTAACAATACTGGCTAGAGTTTTAACACTTAGAATTAAGACAAAAGCCTATTATAGCTTCATTTTCATGATCTTCATATTGGCACTTGAAGTTTTCCATTTCTAATATTTTAAATAATTAAATGATACGATAAATATTTAATTAAAAATAAAATATAATTAAAGCATTTATAAAGTTTACTTATCAATATATTGCTTAATCATAGAAATACCTTAATTATTATATTGAAATAAGGAACACTAAATTAAACAAGTTACAAAGGAAATTAATATATTTCCAATTAAAAAATCCAAAACTACTTTTACTCCTCTTTTATATTAAGTAGTTCTTTAATCTTTTTCTGCTATTGTAAAAAAAGGATTCGTCCTATCCTTAAAATTTTATTCTCTATCATTTCTATTTTAGAATAGACAACATATTGGATCAAAAGTATACTAAATATATTTAAATTGTTTTTTTCAAAATTTCAATCACAAAAAATAATAATATTTTTTAGTTTAGCGGGAATAATTATAAAAGCTTATTTGAAGAGCAATTTTGATTTATTCATTTCTATTATAAATAAACCCGCGGCAATCAAAATTAAACCAATTTTCATGTAATTAATTAATCCCAAATTTAGTAATTCTTCAAATTAATCAATTTTAAATATTTTATTATACTCCTTGTTCAAGTATGTGACATTCTTTACCTAAAATTCTTACTTCTAATGTTATTTAGGATTAAAAATTGTAGATTTTCCTGATTTTTTTGCTACTTTTATGAAATAGATTAATTTTCAACTCTATTTTTAGATCCTTCTTATAATCTATTAACTAAACATTGTAGTTCAGAAAGAATATGTTCTATCAATTATTAAAAATTTTTAGGCAAAAATTTAAGATCGATTTTCAAATATTAACCTTTTATAAATTTTAATTTTTTATCAATTTTATCATATTGGTCGAAAAAATTCAAGATTCAATTTATTTATTTTCAACTTCATTATTAAATAAAAGTTTATATACTAATTGTTTAATTGTATTGTCATCTAATCTAAGAGTTATTTCATTTATTTGCTGTTTTTAGTATAATTCTTTAATTTAACTCTATTTCTATATTGAATTTGTTAATTGAATTTATAAACTTTATCAATTGTCAGGAAAAAGCTTCAGAGTAAGTTAGCTGGAGAATTAAATTTTTTTATTCTTGTCAAGGGCACCGAATTGACAAGGTTTTGGCTTTTGTGCATTCCACCAAAATTAACCAGATATAGGAAAGAGAAGTTAAATTCCTAGTTTCTCCCAAATGAGGGTTCATTGATATCTAATTCCAACTAGAGATAAAGTTAGGAGGTGAGCAAAAAGAAAAAGCTAGAGATTAAGTCATATTTTAAATATTTTAAAATTAATTTAATTATTTCATTTAAATTATTAACGAATAAAAAATTTATTAAGAATTTGTTTCGGAATTTAAGATTTCATTTGATTTAATTTAACAAAAAAACTTAAAATATTTCATTCAATCGACCAATATTCTTCCACAAGAGAAGGCAATTAACTCATTAGTATTAGAAAGAATTTCATATTAAATTATAAAATATGATGATTAATCACATCTAAGATATATTAAAATTCAAATNAAAAAAAGGATTCGTCCTATCCTTAAAATTTTATTCTCTATCATTTCTATTTTAGAATAGACAACATATTGGATCAAAAGTATACTAAATATATTTAAATTGTTTTTTTCAAAATTTCAATCACAAAAAATAATAATATTTTTTAGTTTAGCGGGAATAATTATAAAAGCTTATTTGAGGAGCAATTTTGATTACTTCATTTCTATTATAAATAAACCCGCGGCAATCAAAACTAAACCAATTTTCATGTAATTAATTAATCCCAAATTTAGTAATTCTTCAAATTAATCAATTTTAAATATTTTATTATACTCCTTGTTCAAGTATGTGACATTCTTTACCTAAAATTCTTACTTCTAATGTTATTTAGGATTAAAAATTGTAGATTTTCCTGATTTTTTTGCTACTTTTATGAAATAGATTAATTTTCAACTCTATTTTTAGATCCTTCTTATAATCTATTAACTAAACATTGTAGTTCAGAAAGAATATGTTCTATCAATTATTAAAAATTTTTAGGCAAAAATTTAAGATCGATTTTCAAATATTAACCTTTTATAAATTTTAATTTTTTATCAATTTTATCATATTGGTCGAAAAAATTCAAGATTCAATTTATTTATTTTCAACTTCATTATTAAATAAAAGTTTATATACTAATTGTTTAATTGTATTGTCATCTAATCTAAGAGTTATTTCATTTATTTGCTGTTTTTAGTATAATTCTTTAATTTAACTCTATTTCTATATTGAATTTGTTAATTGAATTTATAAACTTTATCAATTGTCAGGAAAAAGCTTCAGAGTAAGTTAGCTGGAGAATTAAATTTTTTTATTCTTGTCAAGGGCACCGAATTGACAAGGTTTTGGCTTTTGTGCATTCCACCAAAATTAACCAGATATAGGAAAGAGAAGTTAAATTCCTAGTTTCTCCCAAATGAGGGTTCATTGATATCTAATTCCAACTAGAGATAAAGTTAGGAGGTGAGCAAAAAGAAAAAGCTAGAGATTAAGTCATATTTTAAATATTTTAAAATTAATTTAATTATTTCATTTAAATTATTAACGAATAAAAAATTTATTAAGAATTTGTTTCGGAATTTAAGATTTCATTTGATTTAATTTAACAAAAAAACTTAAAATATTTCATTCAATCGACCAATATTCTTCCACAAGAGAAGGCAATTAACTCATTATTTGAAATAATAAAATTAGGTGCTATTTTCCTATATTTTCCTATTACTATAAAACATATCCATATATAATATGGGAAGACAGTTGGAAAGTATTTCAGAATTAAAAAAATAGTACTATCAATTATTCAGAATATTTTGATCAATTCAATATATTAAATACTAAAATTGAAATTATAGAACAAAAATGTTCCACATTTTTAGAATATTTATCAAAGATATTATAAAAATTAATTACTTATAAAATGTAATTTAATTAAAAAAGATTAACATTAAATCACTGTAATTTTTTCTAATAAAATTCTTATTCTTTGATTCCATCTTAATATTAACCTATATATATGATTTATTCGTTGCTAATATTATTTAGATAATTTAACTATTGAAAATTTTCATGCAAATCTATCCATTTTCCAAACTTTACTCCATTCCTATCAAACTAACCACCACCACTTATTATGGATAACAATATTTACATTAACTTATATTATTTTTTAACATCAGTTGTAAAGAATGCATTCCATTCTCCATATTTAATTCCGTTTAAATATTATCCTTTATAAACAACTTAAGAATCTCTAATAAATTTAATCATAAAGTGTACTTACAAAATGTTTCAGAAAGTTCTGTCCATTATCCAATTTTCATTCCATTATCGTTGTAGGTTCCTTTACCTCTAAATTTAAAGATTGATATCAAACATTTTCAATTTATCATCACAATATTTGCTAATTAGAGTTTCCCAATTTCCTATTTTAATTCCTTCTTAATAATTTCCTACAAATAACACTTTCCAATATCTTATTAAATAGATAATATATTAAACTCCCAAACTTTATCATTTATTTCAATCCATAATCCAAATTTTAATCCTCTATCATTATAGCTCCCTCCTCCTCTGAAAAATAATAATCTAATTTTATAATACATTATCTAATTATAATAATTAATTTGCCATTTTCCAACTTTTTTTCCGTTTATATATCTTCCTTCGAATGAAATCTTTGATATAAAACAATAAAAATAATAATTTATTTATTACTATCTATAATCTTCTACTTCTAGCCAAATACCTGTTTTCTATCCGTATTCATCGAAATCACCTCCTCCACTACAATATGATTCGATTCTGTTACATAACATTATAAGTTAATTAATCTAGAATTTTCCACCTTCCTATTTTAAGACCCTTAATATAATTTCCTACATTTATTATTTTGCATTCATAATGTTTAGAATGAATAAAACTATAATAATATTATACCTCATAAATTTTTCAAGAATTTCAGTCCACTTTCCATTTTTTATATCATTGTCATAACATCCTAGACATCTAAGAATATAATAATTTTGAAACATTATACATTAATTTATAATGATCATCTTTATATTCCTTTAATAGAGACTCCCAAATTCCAATTTTTAACCCATTTTTATATTCTCCTTATTCTAAAATCTAGCATCCACTAAAATTAATTTCATTACTCTTACTTCCAAAAATTTTCACTTTCCTCCACCCATTTTCCATTTTTTTATCTGTCTCTGTTATAAACACCTCCTCCTCTAAGAGTATTATAAGCGTTTACATTTTTTTAAAACGACTATCAAAGTAACTTCGAAAAAAAATGTCCCACTAACCTTCTTTTGCGTCATTATAATAAATTCCTTTATAAAAAATTTGTCTTCCACTGATAATATTATCATATTTTAATTACTTATAAAAGTTCTTATGTAACTCTATCCAATACCCTTATTTAATAGCCACTTAATTATAATAGCCTCCACCACTTATAAAGATTTAATTTTACATTCTTACATATTGGTGATTTATTTTAATTTTTAATCTAAATAATATGTTTACCATTTTCCTTGTTTAATATCATCAAAATATTATCCTCTAAAAGTTACTTATGATTTGCTATATTAATTTAGATAAGATTACTCCCAAAAATTTTCAAAAAGTTCAATCCATTCACCTGTTTTTAATCCTTAATCGCAATAATATCCTCCTGCTTCTAAATTTTCACCTTTCCATAAAGCATACCATTTTCCAATTTTTTATTACAGATTATTATACTAACCATGCCATCTTAAATATTTAATTTACTCTAAATTTTTGGTTTAATTTAGAGTATCCTTGTAATCTCTAAATTATAGTTTAATAGTTACATAAAAAGAATAGAGCCATCCTTTTAATAAATAACAGTTCCTTCTTCAGTAATTTAAATACTAAAAGTTGCTTTTTAGAATAACAATAAATTTGAAATCCTGTAACTTTCTCTTCCTTCTATTATTGTCCAGTCCTTATTAAAAATTTATCTCTCTTTAGAATCGGATCCATATTTTAAATAATTTGTAACAGAATTTATTGNATCCATAATCCAAATTTTAATCCTCTATCATTATAGCTCCCTCCTCCTCTGAAAAATAATAATCTAATTTTATAATACATTATCTAATTATAATAATTAATTTGCCATTTTCCAACTTTTTTTCCGTTTATATATCTTCCTTCGAATGAAATCTTTGATATAAAACAATAAAAATAATAATTTATTTATTACTATCTATAATCTTCTACTTCTAGCCAAATACCTGTTTTCTATCCGTATTCATCGAAATCACCTCCTCCACTACAATATGATTCGATTCTGTTACATAACATTATAAGTTAATTAATCTAGAATTTTCCACCTTCCTATTTTAAGACCCTTAATATAATTTCCTACATTTATTATTTTGCATTCATAATGTTTAGAATGAATAAAACTATAATAATATTATACCTCATAAATTTTTCAAGAATTTCAGTCCACTTTCCATTTTTTATATCATTGTCATAACATCCTAGACATCTAAGAATATAATAATTTTGAAACATTATACATTAATTTATAATGATCATCTTTATATTCCTTTAATAGAGACTCCCAAATTCCAATTTTTAACCCATTTTTATATTCTCCTTATTCTAAAATCTAGCATCCACTAAAATTAATTTCATTACTCTTACTTCCAAAAATTTTCACTTTCCTCCACCCATTTTCCATTTTTTTATCTGTCTCTGTTATAAACACCTCCTCCTCTAAGAGTATTATAAGCGTTTACATTTTTTTAAAACGACTATCAAAGTAACTTCGAAAAAAAATGTCCCACTAACCTTCTTTTGCGTCATTATAATAAATTCCTTTATAAAAAATTTGTCTTCCACTGATAATATTATCATATTTTAATTACTTATAAAAGTTCTTATGTAACTCTATCCAATACCCTTATTTAATAGCCACTTAATTATAATAGCCTCCACCACTTATAAAGATTTAATTTTACATTCTTACATATTGGTGATTTATTTTAATTTTTAATCTAAATAATATGTTTACCATTTTCCTTGTTTAATATCATCAAAATATTATCCTCTAAAAGTTACTTATGATTTGCTATATTAATTTAGATAAGATTACTCCCAAAAATTTTCAAAAAGTTCAATCCATTCACCTGTTTTTAATCCTTAATCGCAATAATATCCTCCTGCTTCTAAATTTTCACCTTTCCATAAAGCATACCATTTTCCAATTTTTTATTACAGATTATTATACTAACCATGCCATCTTAAATATTTAATTTACTCTAAATTTTTGGTTTAATTTAGAGTATCCTTGTAATCTCTAAATTATAGTTTAATAGTTACATAAAAAGAATAGAGCCATCCTTTTAATAAATAACAGTTCCTTCTTCAGTAATTTAAATACTAAAAGTTGCTTTTTAGAATAACAATAAATTTGAAATCCTGTAACTTTCTCTTCCTTCTATTATTGTCCAGTCCTTATTAAAAATTTATCTCTCTTTAAAATCGGATCCATATTTTAAATAATTTGTAACAGAATTTATTGCTTCAAATAAAATCATTATTTTAATTATTTATATATTAAACTTTATTTAGCAAACTTTATTTAGTAATATATATAATAATTTTAGATTTTTAAGAAATGAATCAGAGATTAGAATCACTGATTATTAAAAATAAGTTATTCTAATTATAATTCATTATTGATTATTATTCAAAATCAGAATATAATGAAAATAATATACACTTTTAGTAGTTAATGGGAATCATTTGATTTATGAATCTCCTCTTTTCTCTAAGTTTCTTATTGATATTTTATATGATAAATATCAAAACTAATATTTATATATTTATTTCATGAAAATTATATAGATTCTAATTTGCTAATTATTACAATTTTAGTTAAAAATAGGAATCAGAATAAATTTAATCTCTAAGATCATATTTTTAACTATTCTGAATATAAATTTTTAAATATACTCCTAAACAAGTCGATGCAAAAAATAAATAATAAGACTATTTTTATTAACAATTAAGTTTAATAATAAATTATTACTATAAATACTAATTGAATGTTTAAATTGACATCAATCTGTATTATTATAGTATCATATATCACAAAAAGATAATTTATATGATTAATAATACTGCATAAAAATTCTTTTAATTAAAATATAATTTATATATTGTTTATTCTCATTTCTTCCATTATTTTCATTATTTCAACAGTTTTAATTTGGCCTCCCCGACTTTATTAAGGGATAATGTTGTATAAATTTGTTATTGCCTTAAATAACATAAAATAATTACTCTTTTTTCTCTTAGCGCTTCTTTGAAATTGTAAGCCTTCGCAATTATTTGAAATTTCTATCTATCCTAGAACTCTTTTATCTCCATTAATCTATAATATCATTAAATTTCCAGATTAAACTTGATTAAGGAAATAATTTTTTTAATATAATTATGAGGTATGTCAAAAAATTTTCTTTGTATTTTTTATAATAAGCAGAGATAATATCAAAAAGATATAATCTAAAGCAAATAAGGGCTATTAAAATTTACAAAATTTGTGCTAAGATTTAGTCTCCTTACTATTCACAAATATATTAAACGGCAGCTAAGAAAATTGCTATGGAACAAAATTATCCTGAACTCAAATCCAATTTATTTAATTTTGGATAAATGTAAGGCAAATATGATGATGTGATTATTTAATAGATCATTAAGCACATCGCAATCAAGATTCCTTTTAAAAATATATTAGTTTCAAAATTTATCAAAATAACTATAATAATGGTTTTCTTCCATAATTTAACCCATTCCCAAAAAGAGTTATTGGTGTTATATTCATTAAATAAATAGCCAATATGACTTCTGAATTATATTTTATCAAAAAAATTTCTTTTCTTGTACAAAAATAAAAGTAATGATATTGGTAAAATTAACCCTATCAGTAATGAAAGTGGTAAAGCAAACTTATAAATCCATGCCTAATGATTAAGTGACTCAAATAGGAGAGATAGATCTCCTTAAACGTAATCAATATTAGAGATTTCCCTTTTGGCCAAAATTGAAAAAAGCCTTAAATCATTATAAAATCATACTAATTGATTAATGCAGCATAGTTTTATATATATAAATAAATTATTGTAATTGAAGATATGTTACTACTGAATTTTCCTTTTGTAAGCATAATAAAAATGTTAACTGTTAATTAAATAACGAAGATTTATAAACTGATTAGAGTAAACATTCCTAATACTCTTATATATATTAATTCTATTTCGAATGATTATGAAATTTCACAATCTAAATTACGAGTAAGGAAATATGATGTATCACTCATCTAGTTAACAAAAATAAATGAAAAAGAGAATTGAATGTTAAAAGTATAAATTACAGAAAATATCCAAATATAATTAAGCAATAACTTTAATAAGATAATCTCTTAATCTAAAAATAATATTTATTAAACAAATACTTATATTCATCTTAAATAGGATATGAGCAAAATTTTAAGTGAGTTTTAATGAAGCAAAGAGTTAATTAGTTTTCTATACACTAGTTAATGTTATAAAAGCTGATAGAAAGACCCTATTGTAGAATTAATTTATTACCAAATTGTTATGAGAACCAAAGATAATATGTTAATAGAAAAATTGCTACAATTTAAACAAGTAAATTGATCATTTTTAAAATAATATCCATCTCCTCTAGTATTATGCTTACCAACAGCCCAACCACCTTTGCATGATTCAATATTTTTGAAGCAATCATTCACTAAATCAGATTCCTGATGAGGTCTCCAATATCCAGGTTTCAATTTAATATTGTTAGAAGTAATGGCTTCAAATTTTGTTTTATCAAATATTGAACACTTTGTAGCATTGTATGTAACAGAATAAAACCCTTATGTAGATTAACAAGTCAAACAACCATTTAAAACATAAAATTCTCCTAATTAACAAATTAGGCTTTATACTTTTATCTTATACGATAATTCCTTAATTAAACTTTAGGTTTTGCAGTAAATTTCAATTTCATACTATTTGTCAGTTTGATTATATGGATCAAAAGTAAAAATTAACATTCCTAAATCGAAATTGTTTGTTGTTTAATTAAAATATATTAATGAAGCATTGCTTGAACTTAAT